TGCAATAAAGGTAACACCTCAATAAAAATTCCCATGAATTTTTTGATGTCCCAATGTATACTAAAGTTATATATAGTTCATACTATAGTCTATTAGGTGTGCAATAGCATAAACAGTACACACCTTTATTTAAAATATTGTATTGCTAAGAATACTAACCATTATCTGAGCCTTCAGGGAGTCGTAATCTTTTTGCTAGTGGAAGGTATGGATGAATAAAAAAAAAAGGCCACACGCTAACCTGACAGCTCAGGGAAGGCCTGCATGGCAGTTTTGCAAACTCAAAGACCTAACTAAAAGCAGTTTATAGTGGGTAGTCGTTTCCTAAAATAGGTCATTGCAGTAATGAATATGGGAAAAGATAGCATTTTTAGGGTGGTAGTGATGATAGAGGTTAAAAGAATTTAAGGGATTTTGTGCAGTAAATGCAAGAGATATTGAGAAGATAAAAATCAAGAGGTCTTGGTAATGGACTGAAATGAGTAGATGAAGGGAAGGAAAGCGTCAAAAGTGACTTCTAGATTTTTGGCCTATATTATAGATTGCACAATGTGACCATTCCCCCAGAAATGACATGGGAAAAGGACAAAATTGGGAGTTGGATAAAGAATGGAGATCATGAGTTGTTCCAGACACCTTGAATTAAAAACCCTTCATGCCCTAGCTGTTTTGGCTCAGTGGCTAGAGTGTCGGCCTGCAGACTAAAAGGTCCTGGGTTCGATTCTGGTCAAGGGCACATGCCGGGGTTGCAGGCTCAGTTCCCAGTGAGAAGCATGCAAGAGGCAGCCAATCAATGAATCTATTTCATCATTGATGTTTCTACTTCTCTCTCTCTCTTCCTCTCTGAAATCAATAAAAATATATTAAAAATATAAAGTAAAATAAAATATAAACACTTCATCCCACCCAATTGGAGTTTTAAAGCAAGCAGTGGTAATACTGGTTCAGGGCTCAGAAAAGATACTTGACCTGGAGATATATAATTACGTGAGTCATCTGCAAAAAGTGGTCATTGAAGTCATGGACATGATGAACCTCGCCTAGGAGGGAAACTAACTATATCTATTTTTAATCCTTCTCCTACAAATAAGCTCTCTAGCTCTTTGGGAGCAGTTTTGGTAGGTGCAGTGTCCAAAGGTCTTACACAATCATAGTTCCACTGTTAAGGAACAACAATAGGTTTGTACTATTGTAGAATATGCCAAAATATTCCACAAAAATGCTTAATAGATTGAAAAGATAACAGATTTCAGAGATAACAAATGGAGGTAAATTCGAGTTTCACCACTTCTTAAATAATGTAACTTCTTTTTTCCTTTTGGTTAATCCTCAAGGATACTCTTCTATTGCTTTTAGATATAGTGGAAGGGTGGAAAGGAGGAAGGGAGAGGGAGAGAGAGGAGAAAAAGAGAGAGAAACATCCATGTGGGTGGGGATCGGGATAGAAGCTGCAGCCCAGGTACATGCCTTTGACTGAGAACTGAACCCTCGACCCGTCAGTGTGCAAGCTGGTGCTCTAACCATTGAGAAACAATTGCCAGCGTGATAAACTTTAAAAAATATATATGTATTTGTTGATTTCAGAGAGAGGGAGAGAGAGATAGAAACAATGATGAGAGAATCATACTAGTACATGGGCTGCTCTCTCACGCCCCCTACTGGGGATCCAGCCAGCAACGCAGGCACATGCTGGGAATCGAACCATAACCTCCTAGTCCATGGATCGATATTCAACCACTGAGCCACACCAGCCAGGCTAATGTAACTTTTTTTGATCCTGTTTCCTTTTTTGTAAAAGAATTCAAAGAAATAATGTTGCCTCCAAGAGTTATTATGAAGAGTTAAGGTTCATGCTGTCAAGTGCACAGTGCACTGTGTGGGACACAAAGAAATAATCATGACTGGGAGGTCTTTCAGTACTTTAATTATATAGTAGGCAATGCATAAATTTTATTATCCTGATCTTTTTTATAAAGCATATAACAATAGTATGCATTTCACTAAGGAAGACTACAGTTATTCACCCATAGGAAGCTTCTGCATATGAATCTCAGCTATTCTCACCATACCCTTTCTGAGTCCCTATTAACATTTATACAGTCATACGGTTTTACCAAATTGTATTTGTAAGTGATTTCCACTTCAAATTAGACACTTTACCAACACAGTAATTATTCAAACATTTTTTAATTTTTAAATATATTTTATTGATTTTTTACAGAGAGAAAGGGAGAGAGATAGTCAGAAACATCGATGAGAGAGAAACATCAATCAGCTGCCTTCTGCACACCTCCTACTGGGTATGTGCCCACAACCCAGGTACATGCCCTTGACCGGAATCGAACCTGGGACCCTTCAGTCCGCAGGCCGACGCTCTATCCACTGAGCCAAACCGGTTTCGGCCAAACATTTTTTAGAATTCCTCTTTAAGGAAGGGTTTTCATACACCTCCTGTGTCATAGATATTAGTGACTGAGTGAATGCTGATCTTTTGGGGATGATCACATGAGAAATACCAGGCCTAACTGTGCCAATAAAGTTATCTAACATCCTTAGATGCATTTTTCATGGGCATTGAAAATATTAGGTGTTATTTTCCTTATGAGTGACAAATAATCATTTTTATTACAAAACGTGTGGGGGTTTTTTGTTTGTTTTTGAGAAAGCCAAAAGTCGTTTTATGCTGTTGCTGCTGAATAAGGTGGTTTAAAATAATGCCAGGCCATTTGGGGGTGGGGGACAAAAATAAAAAATACAACAATAGCAAGTGAGATTTAAATATTAAGAAATAAGGTGTTCTCTTATGACCTATAAACAGGCTCTGAGGTCATTTTGAATTGTTTGGGGTTAATAGCCTCCGAGGGTGTCTACTTTGCCTTTAAAAGCAATTTATTTTTAGTTTTTTTTAAGGGTGTCCACTTTGAAAGACAACATTCATGTACATATAAATTTGATTTTAAAATACGAGTTTCCTTCTTTATTCACAGGTGGGATACATATGATTGCATTTTACATACATGATTTCCTATGCTCAAAACAAGGAAAGTAGAAACGCAAAGAAAGGTCTGGCAGCAAATATCTTTCTTTGGTCCACTCTTCCAGCATTGCATATCAGTATTTTGCCCACTTTTCTGACAAATGTATTTTGCTAAATACTTTTTTGGACTATCTCCTTTAACACGAAAAGGCCTAGTCTGGATAAATTCTGATGTAAATATCATATAACAGTTTAATGAAATAATACTTTAAAAAAATATATATATTGATTTCAGAAAGGAAGGGAGAGGGAGAGATAGAAACATCAATGATGAGAGAGAATCATTGATCAGCTGCCTCCTTTATGCCCCCTACTGAGTTTCAAACCCTCAACGTGGGCATGTGCCCTTGACCAGAATCGTACCGGGACCCTTCAGTCCACAGGCCAGTGCTCTATCCACTGAGCCAAACCGGCTAGGGCTGAAACAATACTTGTAACTTGTGCGATGCAATCTGCTGTTTACTTTCCGGTGGTATTTTATTTCCCGACCCCTACATTGACTTCACGTCCCGCCTATGGGTCGCGTCCCAGAGTTTGAAACAAACCCGTTAAAGAGAGCGTCTCCCTGCCGGGCTTCAGGGTTAGCGCACCCTCAACCCATCCTTTTTTTTAGGACCAGCCAGCTCCCCGCGCGCCGCTTTGGTAACCTAGCAACCAAGCAGCCTTTGCAGACACTTCCGGAACCTCAAGCGGGAGTTGTCCAATCGGCTCTGCAGAGTCGCCGCAAAGGCTGACGGGGCGCTGGAGCTGGGCGCCGGCGTCGGCTCCATGGTGACGGGCCGCGGCGGGCTCGGCGATGGCTCTCTGGTCCAGCTGGGCGGTCGCGGCCGTGACCGTGTTCCTCCAGTGGGTCCTCCCTGGCGTCTCGCAGGCCCAGACCTTCTCCTTCCCTTTCCGGCAGCCGGAGACCTGCGGCCGCAGCCAGTACTTCGACATCTCCGCGCTCTCCTGCGCCCCGTGCGGAGCCCACCAGCGGCAGGACGCCCGAGGTGAGACGGCGGGCCCGGCCCCGCGGACACCCCGGCTGGCTGCTGTGCCCAGTCCCCGACGTCGCTGCAACACCTTTCCGTCGGCGGGAAGAGTCTTTCTGGACCGTTAACCGCCAACGCCAGGGCGGATTTCCCTGGAGGGTTGCAGTTTGAGGGACCCCGAGTCCGCTACTTGGCGCCAGTGTCCCCCCCTTCCTCCGCCGAAGGGTGTTTAGGGAGCACCCAGAAAGCTGCCTAGCGCAGGGAGAAAACATGGAGAAGCCATCTGAGGTACACAGGAGCAGGCGACAGGACAGGTGGGGAGGGAATGCAAATGAGCCCGTGGGACTGGGACCACCGTGTATCTTACTCTTCCAAAGCCAGAACCTTCGAGCTGGAAGGGACCTGACACTCCCGCAGGTCCCATCTCCTCACTGTACAGATAGGGATATGGGTGCCCAGGTGAGGTTGTCATGTCCCTCTTTGCCACCGAAATTGAGGACTGGAAGAGCTTGTGTCTCTGCCCTGAGCCTGGACCTATGTATTTCCACTAGAGCATGTGTCTATAATATTATAGGTTTCCTTAGGACGTATTCCTTTTGTTATTGAATATTACTAATTGACCTTAAGGTCTCTTTCAATGAAGCCTAGAAAGTCTTTTTTTTCTGGTGTAAGTATTGCTACTTTTTTTTTTTTTTTTTTTTTTTTTTGCTTGAAATATCCATCATTTGGTCTTGGTTCTCTTCACGGAAATTGCTTAGAATAAGACTTTCCCTATGTTCTAAAGTCCAAGATGTTTTTTGTTGTTTGTTTTTTAGTTTATCTTTATTGTTGACAATATTACAGATATCTCCCCCTTTTATCCCCCCCTCCACCCCACACCTGCCCCTCCCTGGCCTTCACCACACTATGTGTCCATGGGCTATGGATATATACATTATAAGTTCCCCTATTAATCTCTCCCCACTCACACCCCCGCCCTTCCCTCTGAAATTTGTCAGTCTGTTCCATGCTCCTATTTATCTGGATTTATTTTGGGTGACCAAATCAAGATCGAAGTCTCAGATGTTTTCAATCTCGATTTGGTCACCCATGGTATTAAATTTCTGCCCTCTTCAAAGTTGACATATCCCCGTTTAAGTCATTATATAGGACACAGGTCAGGCCTCTCCGGTGAGAGTATATGAATGAGAAAGAATTTCACAGACTCTAGAATGCCTGGTGTTAGTTTCATAATTATGAGCCCGGATATATGCATTCCAGTACAAAGATTCCTACAGGTGCCGTTTCCACTTCAGGCTTCCTCAGAGAATGATGCCCTTACCAGCAAATTGAATAGTGATTATCCCATAATGTTTACTATCTGTGCAAACAGAAGAATATGGTAACTTATTGGAATGAATGTAACTTTTCTAATAAGGTTTTGTTTTGACAAAATAAATTTAAATTTATTGGATATGTGCGTATGTTTGGGTGAAATAGAAATGTGAAATTTCCATATCAGTTAATATTATTAGTTTAATAGTTCAAATTTATTATGCTTGTACTAAAAATGGTAGCGAACACCATGCCTACTGTATGCTCCACACATTCTAAGACCTTTACATATAATAACTAATTTAATATTCATATTAATCCTATGAGGGAAGTATTGTTTTTTCCACTTTATCAAAGTGGAAGCCAGAGCACAGAAAAGTTCAGTAGCTTGCTCAAGATTAGAACCCTAGGAGTGTGTTTCTGGACTTGAACCTAGGCAGTACTGGCGCCTGAGTCTTGCTCTAAACTACTATACTACTTCTCTAGATCTTAAGAATTACTAAAAGTTTCCCTGTCTTGGAGTTACGTTTTTATTTACCAAGGTCACCGTTGGTTCTCTTCTTTGTAGGAACTTCATGTGTGTGTCTACCAGGATTTCAGATGATCTCTAATAATGGAGGAGCTGATATTATTTGTAAAAAGTGCCCAGAAGACAAGGTATAGAGTATTTATCTTTAAATAATTTTACTTTGCAAGTAGTATATTAAATGCATTTTTTAAACTACCATTTAATACTGTACACTACTATTTCCCCACAACCTTTAACATTATAAAGCTAACTTTTTTCTTTATTTAGTAGAGTAAATTTTGGGAGATTGGTAAAATTTTATGCAAACTTGGAGTACATGGGAATCTACTGCTTTATTTTTTTAAAGTTTGAAAGGAAAAACTCCCACAAAAATGGTGTGTTTTTACTTTTCCTCATAGAGTAATTCAGTTATAGAGAAAAATAAATGAATGATACATATATGCAGCAATTTGGAATATGTGTATCCTTTGGTACAAATTGAGTTTGGTGTCTTAGACCTATATTTCAGTGTTTTATATAATTTATGTTTGTAATGATATTACATTGGTAAGTTCATGAAATGCCAATTTGCATCGTTAAATAGGTTAAATAATATCTGTGCTAGTCTCTTAATCATTTCATTATATCATAACTAGAGTCCCCTAGCAGCTGGAAGTGGCTGGCTGGAGCCTCCCTCCCCCGGGCCACTTGCTGTGGCCGGCCCCACCCCCTGGTCAAACTCCCCATCAAGGGGACAATTTGCATACTATGCTTTTATTATGTAGGGTTTTGGGAAAATTAGGAAGCTAACAGTTATTATATATGATGATTCTTAACAGGAATATACTTTCAATCATTTAGGATAATTAAGAGTTTCTGTGTGCCAGTTCTGACTTTTGTAATAATATATCTTCTCATTATCTGTGTTAAAAAAAAAACAACCCTTGAATTTGGGAATATAATACACAGTTACCAGTTGTCCTACTTTATGGCTAGTACTTATAGATTTGATGATCATTTCGATACTTATTTTTTACTTTTGTAAATATTGACCTTATGATAAATAGCCACTATTAGGAAATGATGCCAAAGGAGATTTGTTTTTCAATGACATTACTAAGAAGTCATAATTTTTACGTAGTCTTATATAAATGTGCTGCCAAATATAGGAGCACTTATTGATTTATCCAGTTTTTCAACCCAAATTTAAAATAATTTGTGGCATTGTTTTTTTATTGCCATTGTTCTCTTTTAATTTTGGCTACATTCATGTTTGTAATGTAATTCCTGTACTTTTGTCTCATAATTTTTCTAAATCATGTAATAAGCCCAGTTTTGAATGATGTCATATTTTACTGATACCAACTATTAATGGAAGTAAATAGCCTCATAACTTAATTTTAACAACTTTGTTTACGTGTCATTTATATACCATAACATTAGCCTATTTTGAATCATAACTTAATTTTTAAAAGCTAATGTATTTGGATTATTAGAGATTAGAATAATTATTTTAAGACAAGTAAGACTAAACTTACTTGGCTATTAAATTCTGTTGAATGTTGTTTTATCTTTGTAAATGACTCTTGGTTGACTGCAGAAGGAAAATGCCACTGCCCCCCTGGCCATATTTTAGGTAAGAAGTAGATTTCTTATGAAATAGTAACACATCTTTATTTGTGTTTGATAAGGGCATTAATTGAAATAGCATGGTGATTTCTTAACAATTTCTTTATTACTTTTTCAAAATGTAATGATGTTTGAAACAGCAGCAGGCATTAGGAAGAAGATAAAAAGCCCTATCTGATTTTGAATAATTCTTAACAATGTAGGATTAGATGGATACTTACTTAATATAATACGATAAAATACAAGTTCCAACTCAAAAGCCAACATGATGCTTAATAAGGAAAAATAATAAGCATTCCTCTTAATGTCAGGACCCAGCAAATGTAAAAGAAAAAAAAAAAGCTGGGATAGCAATATTCATCTCTGACAAACTAGACTTCAAAATGACGGCCATCACAAGAGACAACAAAGATCACTACATAATACCAAAGGGATCAATGATACAAGAGGATATAACCCTGGTAAACATATATACACCCAATATAGGGGCACCTAAATATATTAAAAAAAAACAACTTCTAGAGGACTTTAAGGGAGAGATCAACAACAGTAATCACACTAGGGGACTTTAACACCCACTAATTTCACTGGATAGATATTCCAGACAAAAAAATTAACAAGGAAACAGTGACTCTAAAGGACACACTGGATCAGATGGACTTAATTGACATTTATAGAACATTTCACCCCAAAGCTGCAGAATATACGTTCTTCTTAAATGCACATGGGTCTTTCATAAAGATAGACCACATGTTAGGTTGTTTTCACAATGCTTCGATGAATACCCTTATATGTATGTATATATGTTTCAGTAGGTTAGGTCTCTAAAACTGAAATTGTAGTGCTGTAGGGTATGTGAATTTAAAATTTTAGTAGATACTATCAAGAGCCCTCTAAGTGGCAGAAACTTAGCAGTAGTCTGTAAAAATGCTTGTTTCCCCATTCTCAGTGTAGCAGGAACATACAGGTAAAGAGATAAGGAAATTTTTCAAGAAAAAATATTAATTTATTGTTATGAGGATTTGGAGAATTCGTTTTTGTATTTTTTTTTATCTGACTGAGGAGGGTTTCACTTTTCTATATAATTGAGGTGCTTAACATGCCTTTAATGCAAATAATGTTTTGAGAATTATTAGAATTGCAAGTGAGATGTAGTAAGTATGTACAAGCTTAGATATTGACTATGAATTACATCTGAATTTTGCTTTTATATTTTAGTGGAAAGGGATATAAATGGAACGTTGTTGTCTCAAGCAACTTGTAAGCTCTGTGATGGAACGGAAAACTCTTTTACAGTAGCAAATACCTTAGGAAACAGGTAAGCTGTGTGCTGCTGACCCTGGAGAGCTCAATAGGTCAGTCTCCTTGCTTTAGAGTGGTTTACCTCCCCCCATTTCATAGGCTGTTTTCACAGCTTACAAATAAATATGTTAAGTTCTTTGCATGGTGCTCTAGAGTTAAGTGCACATTAGCTACTTTTGTTTGCTATTATGTAATTTGTATGTATCTGTAATACAATACATAATAGTAACTTCTATTTACATCATACTATAGACCAGGTACTGTGCTTCATATATTATGTTACATAAGAAAACATATGAATAAATGTAATGATAAATATAATAATTTAGTTATACTCTTGTAGCCCTCTTCTCTATCACTTCCTGTTCCCCCTTTGTGCATGCATATGTACACACCAAGCATGCATGCACACACACCACTCCCTCTCTCTAACTCAAACACATTATTCCTATTTCAATTTCTTCAGTTTTAGAGGTTACTTCCCTTTAAGTTCAGTTTTCAGTTTGATTGTCAAGTTCAAGATAGAAAATACTTGAGCAGCTTCTTCTGGGGATACTTAGTGTTGGATCATCTTTTCTTTCAGGCTGCCCTGCATTGTAGCTCCCAAATACGGACTACTGGGCGGGTCCTCAGATCCTCCCCTCCAACACCTCTCTAAGCCTAGTTAGAGTTCTGTGCCACCCCCGAACCCCTCCTCCTACCTGCTCTATCTTGCAAGTAATAAATATCCATCTAAAAACCATCAGTGTCCCCACTAGTTTAACGCCCTCTGTCCCTTTATATTGTTCATTAATGAAAAATATGTTTTCCTAAAATAAACAATGATGAATAGACTTTAAAATTGTTGGTTGTAAGTTTGATAAGTAGTAGATACATGTTTCTTTTCAGCATGTTACTTTTTTGCTTTGTGGCAGATAAAATAGGGAAAGTATATTTGATACAAGTACTTATAAAAATGGATTGGGTTTCATTTATATGAGTTCTTTGAGCTCGTTTGTTAATTGAGTGATTTACCCATCTTTGCTATTCAGTATTTATTTATTCCTTACATCCCATATGGTTTTAAAAGAATACACTTGTATTACTGGTTAATTTTATTTATTTATACCTTGCCTTGTATAACTAAGAGTGGGATAAAACTATTCAATTCAGTGTTAATATTTTTAATTTGTTTTCTTATTACAAGTAATTGCTTAGCTGAATGAATCTAATCTAGTGGTTAGGAAGACAAGTTCTTGATTAAATTCAGGTTTAGCATATTTCATTGACATTTAAAATATTATTTTTGTTATATTAACAGGTGTGTCCGATGTGAGCCAACATTCATTAATACCAGCAGGTCCTGTGCGTGTTTAGAACCTAACACTTTAGTAAGGCTAATCAAATTGATAAAGTATATAATACTTTAAAATTAAATTGCTTATACCGTTCCAAAATCTGTCTTATTTATTTATTCATTTGTTCATTCATTTTTCAGACAGGGGGCTTATGTTTCGGCAGCACAGGGAATTTTCCTCCACCTATGATTTCACCTGCACGTTATGGAGAGCTTGTGAGTATGTTTACATTTTTTGTTTCATTAAGAATATTTCTGCATTTCTTTGGTAATTAATTTGGGATTAAAATAAGGAACATATATGTGTAAATCACTTTATTTTTTTAAAAAATATCTTTTATTGATTTCAGAGAGGAAAGGAGAGGGTGAGAGGGATAGAAACATCAATGATGAGAGAGAATCATTGTCTGGCTGCCTTTTGCATGCTCCCCACTGGGGATCGAGCCTCAACCCGAGCATGTGCTCTTGACCAGAACTGAACCTGGGACCTTCAGTCCGCAGGCCGACTCTCTATACACTGAGCTAAACCAGCTAGGACTGTAAATCACTTTAAAACAGCAACTATGAGT